GGTTTTAATGCGTTTCTATGGGCTTTTAAAAATCGCTTTATGATGTTTTCGTTCTACAGTGATTTCGCTGGAACGAATTAACATCATAATGTGAGGCACCACTGTAATTCATTACATTCTAGAATTTGGTACTTTTACAATACAGTGGTGCCCCGCATAGTGACAATAATCCGTTCCGGAAAAATTGTCGCTATGTGGATTCGTCACTATGTGGAATAAAAAAGCCCATAGGAATGCATTAAAACACGTTTAATGTGTTCCTATGGGCAAAAAACTCACAGTTATGTGAAAATCCTCCATACGGCCACCATTTTTGCTGCCCGGTAAGCGAGGAATCGGCGCGAAAACACAGCGGCCAGCCATTTTTTTACCCAGCGGCCATTTTGGAACCGCCGATCAGCTGTTAGGAAAACATCGCTGTGCAAAAATCGGTAAGCAAAACAGCTAACCGATCATCGCAAAGCGATTTTTTCCTATCTAAATCATCGCAATGTGATCGCAAACGCGATCGCAAAAACTTAATCGCTATGCGGATTCGTCATTAAACGGGGCGCCCGTTAAGCGGGGCACCACTGTATATTTTTTGCAATTGTCTGACGTCGCTTAAAATAAAGCTACATCATTTAGACTGAAAAAACGTAGTAAGAAATACTGAACCTTCACTCTTTTTTTCTCTCGCACAGGATATGAACCTGATTGACATTCTGTGGAGACAAGATATTGATCTTGGAGTCAGGCGTGAAGTTTTTGATTTTAGCCAAAGAAAGAAGGAATATGAGCTTGAGAAACAGAAAAAACTTGAAACAGAGAGACAAGAACAGCTTCAAAAAGAGCAAGAAAAGGCCTTCCTAGCTCAGTTACAGCTAGATGAAGAGACAGGTGAATTTGTTCCGATTCAGCCTGCTCAAGCCACTGAGTCCCTGAACACTGGCCTAGCCAATAATAATTATTCACAGGTAAATACGTGCCAGCTTTCTTTCTGCTGATTTATATTTACCTCACTGTTCTTTTCCTGACGTTTGTATTTGTTAAAACAACCATTCTCCTTTTACTCTTCATGTACAGAAAGTGCACATTTCCAAACAAGATGAAGACAACCTCTTTGATGACATGTTTGAGGACTGCATGCAGGTTTTGGCATATACATTCTCATTTGCAGATGACCATGAGGTAAATCTTTATAGCTACCTTTACCCATCCACTTCTCCCTTCAACAGTGCTAGGGTTAGGGTTGCCAGCCCCCCTGTGCAGTTCAAAATAAATGCACAACTCTTATACCCCCAGAATGTAACTTCTGTATTGTACAACGCATACACAGTTGATTCACAGACACACGCCTCCCCTCCAGTCAGTCTCCTGGCATGCCCCAGCACCCTCCCCAGCTGCCCTGTGGAGCCGCCCTGACAGGAAAGGGGTTGGTCAGGCTGCCACCATCAGACTGGGGGGGGGGCGCACTGCCAAAAAGACCCTGGGTAAGCCCCAGACCCTCCTTTCTCAGGCTACTTCATGGAGATGAAGAACAGCACAGTATTTATCAGATATTACATAGTTGATTGATTGGGGAAAAAATCCGTGCATATCCAAAACCATGCTCCTCAGATCCATGCAATTCATGGGAGAAGTGTACAAGACATTTAATGTAGTCTCTCTGAGCTGTAAAAAATACAGAAATAAATGCCTTTCCTCTGTCTTTCTTTACGATATTCTTCTCAATACTTGAATGTCCTGAATATTATGTGAACTATGCCATTTGAGGCTACTGATTCTTTCTCAAAAAAACCCCCAGGAGGTTTCAGGCATAACTGACAAAGACCTTTATCGCCATATCCCAGAACTCCACAGCTGAATTTCAACAAGTGGCACCTTCGGAAATTGATAGCAACCAAGTCTTCCTGGATTCCAATCAGATGCAGTCCCTCAATTCATCTGTCCTCCCACCTGACATTCCAGAATTTATGGTGACTCCTCCTGAGAGTGCACAAGACATAGAACAAGTATGGGAAGAACTGTTTTCTATTCCAGAGTTGCAGGTAAAGAGTTGCAGTCGATGCTTGAATATACAATATGCAAGTATCTTAGACAAATACATATTAAAAGGGGGGAACCTTAGGCAATCTTTTTATATTTATTCAGATAATTGCAACAAGTACTGTCCACAGAACAATCTTGCAAATATAGTATGAGGTTCAAGCTGACAAGCTTTTAAAAAAATGATCAAGGATCTCTGAGACATTTACACACTGAGCTGTACAATTATAATATGTTGATATGCAGTGGTCCCTGTAGGAAATTCTGCTTTCAGCTGAGTCATCAACATGGTCATTCCAATTCAGTGGGCTTTCCTTCCAAATGCGCTTAGGACTGCAGCCTGAGAATGCATATCCCAACTCAAGGATTCAGAGGTTTGGAGCTCAGTGGAGCTTACTTTCTGAGAAGGATCGCTCTGTTAGTGTGTCTTGTTATTTTTACAGGTTTTCCCAAGTAGAACAAGTCACCGTATTTTTTTCATGTATAAGATGATATGTTTGTCTAAAATCTTTAGACTAAAAATTGAAGGTCATTTTATACACAGAAGTAAGCAGAGGCGAGAACAAAAGGGCACATACCTTGCCTCTGCAAACAGGCTGCCTACAGTCAGGAGACAGGTTCCTACAATCACAAGCCTTATGCAACTGATGTCAGCTAATGCTGTACAAGCCAATTGGAACACACCCTGTTGGAGGTGGAGCCTGTAGACTCAGATGCAACAGGGACTCCTAATGTCCAAGCATTCTGAGCCCAGAGGCTGAATACTCAAAGTTACGTTTTTGTAATTTTGGGTTGGAAACGTGTGTGTGTGTGTGTGTGTCTCATACACGGAAGAGTCTTATAGACAGAAAAATACAGTAAGACCTACCGTCTACATTTCCCTTACTAAGTTTAGAGGAGAAACAGCCATTACCTTCCATTTCCACGAATGATGAAAAGTCATACACCACAGGTCTCTAGCAGTAATGAGTCTAGTAGGTGGGGAAAGATACAACTTTCCCAAAGGCAAAATACTGCTGGTTATGCTCAGGGAAAATGCAAACAAAGGCTTCCTTGGGGGAAGACATATCGGGGATTGGCCAAGCAACTCAACTTTGTAGGACTCACTGATATCAATCTCACCAAAGGTCTATGAATTTTTCTTTTACACCAAAATTGCCTCAAACTGTTTCCAGCTTATTAAACCCTAAATGTTTATTTTTAACTAAGTTGTGCAATCTGGTGATTTGGGGAACTTCAGTGAAACAGATTAAAACAATAATACAGTAATTAAAATTTCCAAGATCCCAGATGCCCTTCCTTTCTATTCATATTCTCTGCATAGATGGATTCAGAGGGGAAAGCCCCCCTGCAGCTGCCCACATGCTTGTTTCTCCAGCTTCTGGCAAAGTCTGCTGGCTCCCACAGAATATAAAGGAGCAAGACTAAAAAAGACAACAGCTAAGCCGGTGTCAGCATGCACAGGGCCAGACAGAGGTGCTACTACCTCCAGAGTACTAAAGAGGCATGAGCTGAACAGACTGGAGATGATTAAGGTGTATGGTGGAGGCTAGGCTGGCCCTATGAAAGGAGCTCTTGAAAACATGGAGAAGGACACTGATGGAGATTTCCGAGTTCCATGGGAATAGCCAAGCATTAGGGGATAGTAGTCTTTCTTCATTAGGCTAAGTAAGAGGGGGTGCCCTCTCAAACAGTTACCACTGTCCCCAATGCTTTGCTGGTCCCATGGAACTTCGAAAGCTGCACCCGTGTCCATACTTGAATAGCTGTCTGCAGAGAGAGCCTTGTCAAGGACCAGGAAAGGATCCTGAAACTCCTCTGAGAACTTGAATTCTTTTGGCTAAAACTATCAGAATACTGGTGGAGGGAATTCCTGCTGAACTTTGCAGTTGTAATGCCAGAAACAGACAGACGACCCTTGCCTGCCTGGCTCTCTCAGCAGGCAAAGGCCCTTTTATTTAAACAGGCCTTCTACCCATTAGGACTTTTTAATGACAGATGGTATCTGCTTTGTTGGTATGTAACCTTTAATCTGTTTAAATTAATTTGAATTACTTTAAAAATGCATTAACTATGTAACCATTTTATTTCAATAGTTTATTGCATAATGGCTGAAATCCCGTTGGGTGGGTCCACCCATGCAACAGGCGTGATGTCACTGACAGTGACAGACCGACAGGCTCCCTTTGCGATTTTGGGATATACTCAACTTCATCCATTGTGTGCGAGCTGCGGACGCCCCGAAATCGCGAAAGGAGGCTTTCGAATCAGGGCCAGTCTTCTTTTGCCAAGGCTGCCATTCCCACTGCACAACAGGATCTCAGCCTTTAACAAGGTAGTGTATTGTTTGAGGCTAACTTATTTTAAAAACATGTATTGTAAGGTGCCTGGGATCCCACAGGGAAGAAAGGTAGGAAATAAATGACTCTTGTCAATAAACACAGTGCAAACTTTACGCTGTTATCATTTGTCTGCGATTGCTGAAAATCTTTCTAATATTTCTTTATAGTGTCTTAACATTCAAAATGATAACCTGACTGAAGTAACCTCAAACACATGTGAAGCAAACCCAGTGCCAGAGGCGGCTGTCAGCTTTGCTTTCTACAATCCGTTACCCTCTGCGGAGAAGGAAATTGCTAACTGCAGTCCAGAGTTTCTGAACCCTTTGGAGGCTTCCTATTCTAGCATGTTATTACCAGAAGATCTAAGCCCAAGTAACACATTATCCAGAAGCACTGAGTTTTGTGAAGATTTCTATCCAGCATTTATTGATGTTAAGATGAACGGCAACATATCTAGCCCACCACCACCGCCCAATTTTGTGGATCAGGCAGTTGCTGGCTTTTTAAATGAACCTATTGACCTCTCCGATTTTGATCAGTGTAAAGCTTTTAACTCTGACTTTTTGGGAAACACCCCAGAGCGTAACGATTCTGACTCTGGCATTTCATTGAATGCCAGTCCTGGTACCTCATCTCCAGCTCATTCTGTTGAGTCGTCTTCCCTCTGTAGAGATGCAAGCTTTGGATACAGTGATTCTGAAATGGAAGAGATGGATACCATCCCCAGAAATGGGGAGCAGAGTAATGCTAAAATGCATTCACTCCAGTTGCATCCTCCTGTCTCTCCACCCCTAAGTAAAAGCACCCCCAACCCCGTTTCAGGAAAAAGTACACCCAAGAGAGAATTGCCCGCCAGCCCTGGCCATATTGCAGCTCCTTTTACAAAAGACAAACCCTCCAGTCCTGACGAAGCTCATCTCACCAGAGATGAGCTTAGAGCAAAAGCTCTGCACATTCCTTTCCCTGTCGAAAAGATCATCAACCTCCCTGTTGACGACTTCAATGAAATGATGTCCAAGGAGCAGTTCACCGAGGCCCAGCTGAATCTAATTCGTGACATTCGGAGGAGAGGCAAAAACAAGGTGGCTGCTCAAAACTGCCGGAAGAGGAAACTGGAAAACATAACAGAGCTGGAGCATGACTTGGGTTACCTTAAAGATGAGAGAGAGAAGCTGCTGAAAGAGAAAGCAGAGAATGATCAAAGCCTGCGCCTACTGAAAAAGCAGCTGGGCACCCTCTACCTTGAGGTCTTCAGCATGCTGCGAGATGAAGATGGCAAGCCTTACTCCCTGAATGATTATTCATTGCAGCAAACGAGAGATGGCAGCATATTTCTTGTTCCGAAAAGCAAAAAGCTGGGGACTAAATTCTGAGGATCGAGGAAGTGAATGTTCTCAACTAATATTTTTATTCATGTATTTTCTACTCGAGGGGCTTCCCATGATGCAGAATTTGTCCTATCTTCAAGTGACTTCACTCTAGAGTTAGGTATATGAACACGCTTCGAATCATTAGCGTTAAAACAAATGTATGCACTATGGGTAATGCTTCTGCAAGACACTAGTTCCTCCTTTTTTAAGACCAGCAGCAACTAGTTTCTGTTCTAGTGTAAATATTTCGAGATTTCTTATTTATATTCTATTCCTATAGTTTGTTTTACTCAAATGTATACCAAGTGTGATTTAAGACTGGTAATCCTATGTACTTACAAAACCAATCTTAATCCCCTCTGTGGGTACATCATTTTATAAACTGAATATTTGCAGTTTCATACAAATTTTTTACTTACTGTACTTTGCTTTACTGCAAGAGCTTGAAATGTGTAAACACACATAATAAAGTACTATTGCTAGAGTGCATTCTAGCCAAAGTCAAGCACACTGAATGCTTATGCTTTCAATGAGACTTTAATGTGCACTTAATTAACTCTTGCTTGCTGAAATTGGTGGAGCTCAAAGTGTAACTTTGGCTGGATTGTATCCTTGAAGTTGAAACTTTTGCATACTAGTGTATGCACTAAGTAATGATAATTTTATACTTTTCCAATAAAGTGTGTATACTCTTAACCAAGAATCTTACATTGGTTGTAACAACAAGCACTACACTTACTCAATAGCAGGGAACAAAGGTTGGTATTTTCTGGCAATCTATTTTGCAAGCCAGTATGTTGTCATGGATAGTGTTGAATGAAGACTTTGGAAATGTGGATTCAAAGCCCCACTCAGCCATAGAAAGGCAATGGTAAAACCACTCTTTAAAAATATCACATACCTTCAAAGCCCTTCTAGGGCACCCTAAGTCAGAATGGACTTGATGACATACAATGCTTCAGTATTGAAAGCAACTTTTTCAGCTGTATGGCTTTCAGTATTTGCTCCACAGTGAACTGAGCCAGAGAATCCAGAGTTAGCAGCTAAATGAGGAATTCCTAGGGTCACTAGTCATAAAGAGCAGCCCAGCATCAACTAGACAAAATAGTAAAAATGAAGAGGTGCACAAAGAAAAATTCTGCAGCTCTCCCCCAATTTGAAATATCAACAAGACCATGTTATTAGCAAAAACCTGCCAGAGAAGCAACAGCTGGTCTTCTATCTACATAATGGCTGCCAGTAGAGCAGGAGTGCCATAGACAGCAGTGGCAGATACTGCTAGTTAAAGGATTCCTGTTTTGATTTCAAGTTGTGTGTTGCCTCAATGCATAGGTGTTGCTAACAATCCACAACTGAAACAAGAACTCATGATTAAGCACCAATTGGGCACTCCTGCTGGACTAGTTGGGCTTCAGAATATAACACTGGCATTAGATAAAGGGTCTTAAGACAAAAGCAATTATAACCCATTCAATTATCTACTGTAGTAAAAGATACAAAGTTTTTTTAAATTTCTAGTATTTTAATTTTATATGTATCATCCGACTGCATTACTTTCATAGAAGTATGTGTAGGTAATCTTGCTTACTCTGCTTTCTTAAAAAAAGGGATTCTGCCAGATGATGAAGTACAGTACTGTATCTGGCTCCATTAATGTTTTTGATTTTAGAATATCCATAACCCAGAAATTAAGTTGCTTTCACTTTTTAGTTCTAAGCAATGTCTGACAGGGTTTTTTGTATGTGATGAATTTCAAATTTTTCATTAAATTTTGATCTGGAAATTGAGAATCCCACTATCTTATTTTCACAATTCTTTTATCTTTCTCATTGATCAATGAAATGCCCCTTAAAAAACTTGCCCTATCCTGTTCCGTATTAAAATATGAAACTTTTTGTTTCAAGTGCCCTGACTGAGGCGATTCAGTAATAGACACACTACAAACTTCCATTAACAATCCTAACGGTTTAAGGAATTGTCATCCTCCTTTAAAACCAGGCAAGGAGGGGAAAACGAGGCAACTTTAACTGGGAGTAATTCTTTATATGGCCCTTGGAGACAGAAACAGCATTATGGGGTAGGGTGAGACATAGGAAATTGTTTCCGGATGCAAGGTTAAAGACCAAGGGATCCAAAATGGAAAAAGATGCCAATTTAAAACAAACAAACACAAAAAAGGCAGAAGATGAGGATTGAGAAATATACCTAGCTAGGAGACTTTGCTAAAGGTTCAGTGTATGCATGCATGTGTGAACCTGGTGGTAAGAGGAAGATAGCATCAGGTTAAAAAGCCAAGCCCAAGAGGAAGAATTTCATTTTTATTACCACTCCTAGGGATTCTCAAGGTGCTATACATATTTTCCTCAGAGATTTCTCATATTAAAAAGTTTAATATTCCTAGAAAACAATAATAATTCACCTGAAAGCCTCCACCCACCCATTTTAATCACACAAAGCTGACATCCAGATCGTTACACTTTGGCAAGATGCTCTCAAACAGGCAATAGATTTGGAGACTATAGACAGCTGTCTGTCCCAAGCCTCAACCAGGGAACATGAGGAGCCTTGATTCTACAAAATCCAGAAAGTACTGCTGTGCAAAAACGCAATAAAAATACACAGATAAAAGTGAGTGCAGAAAAGGATGGTACTTTGAGAAAAGCTGTTCTACGGGAACCCACGGCATCTCCAAGGACTATTTTATCACACAACACAGTATTGCTGTTTTAATGGTAATTTTTATTACTTGGAATAAATAATTGCAAATACAGTGGTGCCTTGCACAACGGGTGCCTCACACAACGATGAATTCACACAACGATGCCTTTTTCTGTTAAATTTGCCGCCTCACACAGCAATGTTTCCTATGGGGGATTTTCACACAATGATCTCTTTTTCGTTCCTGTAAAAGTGTCTTACAATGTTTGGAAGCCGTTTTAAATGGTTGCAATGGTTAGCCCACCTCCTGAAACCTATGCAAACTGATTTTGGTGTTGTTCTGACACTTCGTTAATTTATGGTAATTTTTTGTTTTCTCCATTTTAGGTTTTTTGAGCTCACTAACTGTTAATCTGTTTCTGCTAAATTTTCCATCTCTGTAAGAATGTGTATACAGTGGTGCCTCGCACAACGGGTGCCTCACACAACGATGAATTCACACAACGATGCCTTTTTCTGTTAAATTTGCCGCCTCACACAGCGATGTTTCCTATGGGGATTTTCACTCAGTGATGGCAACCTGTTCCAATTGGAACGGATTAACCGGTTTTCAATGCATTCCTATGGGAAATGGTGTTTCACAGAACGATGTTTCACACAACGTTGATTTTTTTGGAACCAATTAACATCGTTGTGTGAGGCACCACTGTATTGGTTTTAAAAATAGAAACTAAACGTTAAGAATGGACAACTGCCAGTGCTCTTTCCTTTCCTTTAACTTTTTTTTTTTGTCTTGGAACAGTTCAGAAAAGCTTTTATTAGAGCTTGTGAAACCTCCCCTCCCCACACACAGTTTCACAAATGTGAAACATCTTGAAAATGTGTTAAGTCTTGTGGCACACCTTAAGGATTGACTTAAGTTTTATTTCCCTTTGTGGTTTACAACCTATTTCAATAGATGCATAAACTGGAAGTCTTATTCCCGTGAGTCTCCTGGGGCTGTAATTTAAGCCACAGGACCTTTATCACATCAGGAGGGTTCTTTCCCACTTAAAAAAATCCCCAAAACAATGGAGAACTTTTTGTCACTTCTTGGAACTGTCACTGTAATTATAGCGGGTTTTTTTTTTTACAACTGGCCCTCAAACCGTGCCATTCATATTCAATACATTGCTATTTGCAACAAATTAACATATTGTTTATTATGTGACACAGTTAAATCTAAGTGCAAGAATGCATTGATTTATGTAAGTAGTTACATTATGATCAAGTAACCCATGCTGAATGAGATCCTATTCTTTGAGGCAGTAGCAAAAAAAAGTGATCAAGTTTTTATTTATTTATATACATATATGTGCTGCTGAATATAAAATACTACAGCAATGCACAGCATAAAACCCAAATTAGTGCCCAAAATGAAAGGGTACGAGTATAATCCACAAATGGCATATTGCCTCTTAAAGAGACAAGACATATCAACCCTGTTGACTAGCACATAATGAGGAATTGAAGCAATAACAGGTTAACCAGCAGCAATTTACCACTGCAAGTCATGCCTTTATCTAGCACAACCACACTACTGGATTTTGGCACTAAAACACAAGATAGTAAAGATAAAAACAATAAAAAACTAAACAGAAATCAAGGAGCAGTGCAAAGTGGTTGAGTAGTAAATCAAGCCCAGAATATCCATCTATTAAAATAAGGATAAGATTAACTCTAGCGCATTAGGACAAAAATATCTACTTAAGATGTTCAAGAAACCCATGTAGGATTTTATATACAGTACAGTACATTCAAACCTTGGTGAGTACCTACTATACTTAAGGCTAGAGATGGGGGGCCTTTGTAGTTGTAAACGAAAACCCTTGCACAGGTGGCGATGAGGGTCCAGACTGTCCACTCACAATTCCGCTGCTGCTGCAACCTCCACGGAGCCTTCCAATGGCTCAGCAGACTGCAATCTGTAAGCCACTCTTCAACCTAGCAGAGAGGCTTGTCGTCCCACCTCCTCCCAGGAGCGGCGAGCCAATCGTGATCTCCGGAGCCATTGGAAGGCTCCACCGTGGTTGCGGCAGAATGGTGAGTGGACCCGTCAAGCCCCATGGGCCTGGACCCTCGTTATCGCTACCTGTGCAGCGGTATTCGTATTCATAGTACCTCCATCTCTACTTAAGGCTCTTCATTCTGCAACAATGGTGTACTTCATTTTCTTTCATAAATTTAAAACACCCCTGCTAGAATATGCTACAATCTTATCACCTCTAAAGGTTGTTTTGAACCTGTTTAGGTATTCCGAAACTTCCCAGGTTGGAAAAATGGGATGAATTCAATGCTTGCCGTATTTAGAGAAAACCCACTACAGTATAATGAACAGGACTGGTTAGACACAACTGACATTACGACCGAAGCCAATGGGATTTACAATTAGGAAAGGTGTTCACAGCACTGACCCCTCTGTGTGACTGAAATCTTACCGTGTTTCCCCTAAAATAAGACAGGGTCTTATATTAATTTTTGCTCCAAAAAACACATTAGGGCTTATTTTCAGGGGATGTTTTATTTTTTTCATCTGTAACAATCTACATTTATTCAAATACAGTCCTGTCATCTTCTTCTTGTTGCTGCACAATGATGGAGGGTGAGGTTTCACTTAACTAGGGCTTATTCTTGGAGTAGGGTTTATATTATGAGCATCCTGAAAAAAATCATACCAGGCTTATTTTCAGGGAAACGGTATTTCATGCCAATGACACAATTTTTGGAAGTGAATTGCCGTGAGCTGAGAAATCTCTAGACACTACCCGTTGCCTCCTATGTTGTGCAGTTCAGTGTACAACAGATAATGCCTATGGAGATTTTTTTTACTTGCAGGAACTGGTGTCTAAAAATTACACTACTTGGACAGCTATGCAGTAGGATTTCAGCCAGGGGTGCCCATCACATTTTGCACAGAAAACACATGACTAAAACACATCCATGAACTTTCTAGTTTGTACTTTAAAAAAAAACATTTTAGGAAGCTTATTTGTCAAGAGGTTAAGAAGCAACATTAAATGTGCTATAACATACCAAAGACTGTATAATTTGTGCAAACAATGGAGTTTTGGCAAGTCAACCACCAAACCCAAGCTCTTCAAATACAAATGGTGTGGAATTAAAAAAGAATTTATTGACACAGACGTTTCATTGATGTAGAGATAACCACCACATCCAATAAAAAGATTTGCCAATTTATAATGGCACTTTATTGTAAACTTTGATCAAAACAGGTTTGAGATAGCAAACTCCACAATCAATTTCTCCTGTTACAGCCATTAGTTACTTCTCTGTTACACTTAAGGATTTCACATTTTATTTCACCATGAAGAAGAGGTCACGTTGTCTTGCATCTGTCACCCTGTACAGCAGAAAAAAGTTAATCAGCGCATTAACAATGGTAAGCTTAGGAGTACCTCCGCCTTCCCAACTGCTCACAGAGAAACATTTCTCCCCTGCCTTCACTACCTTGCAGTTTCCTGCCCCTCCCACTGCTTCTCTAACCCCCCAAACATACTTGCAATTGACAGTGACCTGCACAGTTGTCTTGGAAAAGAGCCAAGTGAGTGTGGAGTTCAGATCTTCTTTTCCTTTCCTAACTGTAGACTACCAGTCAGCCTCTGATGCCTGAGCAGGAAGAAACAAACAGATGGGCACACATTCACCCTGCTCCTCTCTTCTGATAGAGAATGCTGAGATAACCACACGGTCCTGGCCTTGTAGACCACAGGCACAGTGGGCCTCTTAAGATGCCTGGAACAGCAAACGGCTACACACAGCTGGTTTTCAGTAAGTCTCATTAGGACTTGGTCCACAGCACTGGATGCTTGTACTACTACATGTGATGACATTGTCTCCCAAGAGGAGACAGTTTTTCTATCTGAATCTAAGTGGGAATGCCATGCTGACAAAGAGAAGGCGCCCAACAGATGTAGATGTTCGGGAGTCATGATCCTGCCCTTATTAGTAAGAGGAAGACCTCACACAGAAAAAAACTAAGGGAAAATCATATCCTAAACATTTGCTGGGTATAATTCTTGAGGACTCAAGAAGTACATTTTTACAGATTTGTTACCTGTAAGAAAGACATTTATTTTGAAAAGTCTCCATATGCTCAATTCCTCACCAGCAAGTGACTGGTCTTCCTTCCTGCAACTGGGAAATTAAGAACGTTACCATCAGAAAGTCCATATTGCTCACCTGAGTTCCTATACCCAAATTTACCATATTATTTACTTAGAAATCCCCAAATTGACACTAGGAAATCACATACGTTTCTCCCTCTCTAAAAACGAGTCAACAACATAAATCTCTTTCCTACACTTCCAAAAGCACGGCTGCTGTAGTTAAGATGACAGAATCCTCAGGAAGTCAGTCAGTACCTTGGCCATTATCCCCAGTGCCGTCCAGAACGGATGAATAATGCTGAGTGATATCTTCTAGAGTTCTTCAATGATTCTAAGAGGACCCCATACCAGAGCACTATAAATGTTAAATATCATCTGTAAACCAGCCAGATTTGAATTTCAGTGTCATCCTGTAGGGGTTACCCTTTCAAAATAGAATTAAAGTATTGGCACTCACCTTAAATCTGCATAATTTGTTTTCACCACAGAAGCTGGATTTTCAAAGCCCAGAATATTGTTAATGGGCACATCACTATTTCAATACTGTATTAGAGAGCCTTAACAAACCAAGAGGTTTCCAGAAGATAAAGAGATCTGCCTCTGATCAAGCAGCGGTTTCTTCTACAATCTGCAAGCCAAAGAGACTTTTCTTACCTCGTTCAGAAAAGAGCATTATTTTAATTCATAAAAAGTGTTAGAGACAAACCTTACCTATTCTTATTCCCCTTCCTTTCAGGTCTAAATGCTAGACCTATGACTCTGGGTCAACTCAAGTAGCTATGACTCAAGGAGGTTCCAACTGGTGAAGAACTCTTGCTAGACTTTCTTCGACATTTCAGATGGGATGGGCAGATTTTAACTAGCTTTTGGAAAGCTGCTCACTATCAGCATAGTATCTTATGCCTTCACTTTTCTGGAAGTTGAAGCTGTTGCTCTTGCTGCCTCGTCATTGTGTAATTATGCTGACTTGTCCACATACACAATAGGCTGCTGAAGTCCTGTCTGAGTCTCCTTTGATCCACACTTTGGCTAAAAGGTACATCCTAGAATCTTTAAAGCTGGTTAATCACTGTCCTCTGCTTGCTCTTCTCCACGTTCACAGAGAACTAGGCCTAAGCCACTTGAAACCAACAACCGTCAACTTGCAAGAATTTCAAAATGGGTTAATATACTAGAAGAACGTTTCCTCAATGTACAACCAAGATTTCCCACCCTCTGTGAAGAACAGGTAACAGTCCGTTAATCCACCCTCCAATTCTGTCCCTCCAAACAGTAGATCTAGAAGAGAGGATTTAGATCAGAATGGGCAACCTAAGGCCCTCCAGATGATGCTGAACCACAGCTCCCAATATCCCTAGCTGGCAGAGTCAAAAGTAAAATAGTTTTTAATTAGCTGACTGTGTGTAAGTGCAATAAATCAATGAAGGGAGCTACAGCCCCAAGACCTGACGGTCCATAAGCTGTCCTTCCCATATTTCCATCTAAACTAGCCTTATACAAACAAATTTGTATGTACAATTCTGCCATGTGAACATTCCACACCACAATACCAAACTGATGCTCTTTCAACAAGTTTCACCTCTTGGAATAAGATCATAATTTCCTAAAAATATAAAGGTCACACTCATAGCCCAATGGCCAAACTCCAACCTTAAAATGCACTCGTGTAATATTATGAACCTTCATGGGTATATATCAGTGTTTTTGAGCTTGTTGAGCAAATGGCTTGTGCTTGAGATTTATTCACAGTACTCTGTGATTAAATACCAACAACCATGGCTGTGTGCCTTGTGTCTGAGCAACATATTATAATCCCTAAGAATCCATTCCTATACTGAAATCATGTTTACCTTATACTGTTTCTTTGGTCTAGCAAAATAGTAACAAGGTGAGAAATTCAAGTATATTTTGTCTACTCACTGTGCCCTACTCTTCAGGATGTGTATTGACAGAAAGCACTGCTCTGGTAATAGTTAAAAGAGAAGTCTGATCAGATTGAGGACAGCAGATTATTAGGGAACATGGCTGTAGACAAATTTCGGTAAAGGAAGGAGTAAACCACATCCACTGTTGTGAACGTAGTAGAGTACGGAACACAAAATTCTGACACACAGAAGTATCGGTTTAGTTCCAGCTACCGGATTTCCATTACTGACAAGTGTAATACATTCATCCCAGATTGTGTCCTTCAGCTGGATCTGCTTTCACTTCACCTTCAAGGCCAACGCTTGGGGCATTAGAAAGTGTGTGAAAAGTACGTGTTTACTCATTGTTCCTTTAGAAAGAAATCAGGGGGACTGTCCCTTTGCTGCAAGTTTCAGTCAGATAAAGGGGGCACACAGAATTGCACACAGTAATAATATTAACCATTACAAATGAACCCATGTTCTGAGGAGCAGAAATATAAATAAAACTATACAGTTACAAACTAAGTAACAGACCCAGAATATTGACTTCAAAGTTTTAATTCCATTACGTGTGTGAACATAATCTGTTTCCCATGGGGGCAGGGTGGGATTAAGCCTCGATAGTTATAAAAGGCAGAAACTTGTTCTGCCGGTGCTTAATATAGCTCCTACACATACCAACAAAATAGGAGGCAAACTGAATAAGGCTATAAAAGATCTCATTCAAAGCTTATTTACTAAGACTTAAGCTAAGAAACAAGACTACAAATTAAAATAGGCACAAACCAGAAGTTATCTGGGATTTTCATTCAAAAGTAAAGCCTTTTATATTTCACAAGCACTGGTTTAAATGACTCAGTCCTAATTATTACAGCTAAGCAAGCTTTAATGAAAACATCTCTCTGTCTGCATGTGGAACTCATTTCATTTGGTTACACACGCAGAAAAACTAAGATTTGTAAACGATTCAGCATTTCTATAGTTTAAATTAATACAGATTATAATGCACTGATTCTGTTCCTAGCAAGAATATACCCTAAAACTACATTTCTTTATTTAAAGAAGTTTTTGTAAGAAAAAAACTGAACTACACAAGTGTTGAAAAAATTAAAAGTTCCTCAGTTATTTTTAATTCCTGATACCACTACCACAAATTTACAGGGCAATATACCTGATTTATGAAGAAAAGACAAAACTACAACAACAAATTAAAAAAAAAGAGAGAGTCAGGAATGTACATCTAAACACTACATTGCATTAAATCAATAGCTGCACTCTTTGCAAACTGTGGCTATGACAGTCCTTAAGAAGGGTCTCCTGTTTAAGCTGCAGTAACTTTTCTGACTATGGTTCATCGCTCCTTCTGTGGTAGATTTTACAGTTCCTCTAATTCATTTGGGACGACTGTCTCAAAGTAACCTGCAGCTTTCCTGACAATTCCTCGCTCTCTCCTGCTAAGAACTGCAGCCTGTTGAATATAGGATAAGACAAAGATTACTCTCAATGAAACGTTGCAATCTTCATATATAACAGATATTGGTAGCATACCTACCCAGATCCTGGCTGTTTTTAGAATCTTCGCCCACCATAACCACCACTTCCTCCTCCTGATCCATATCCACCTGTAAAAACAAAGTTTTGACTCCTTAAGTCTATAGATCCTTAAAGCATGCTAGACAAATTTCTATTTTAATGTTGTATTTACCACCATAAGGACTGCCCGAGCTTCTGCCACTGAAGCTGCCTCCTCCTTTGATGGGACCGTAGCTTGAGGCCTGCTGTCCACTATAATTGCCAAAGTCATTATAGCTTCCACTGCCACCGTAACTGCCTGGGAACAGAATTTTAATTTCATGTTTACCACTTAAATCATAAATTGTTCCAGAAGCAGGTTTTAAATGCACTATTGAAAATTCAGATTAAATAAACTAAGCAGTCCCAAATACACTTTAGCAGACAACACAAGTTACAGGATTCTGGACATTGTACAAGAAAAGGACATCAACTGACTGGATATAGTCAAAGCCCTAATGAATTACTAGTGGCTGATGAGCATTTAATATGCACACAAATAATTTTCTTCCTACTCAATTATCCAACAAAGACAGAGAAAAATTAGTTAATTTTTTGCCAGCCTTGGGAAAGTATCCTCAACATTATCTTACTCTTCTTCCAAATAATTTCATCAAAAATTCTGACATATTTCAAACATTTAAAATTTTTTAAGCATCTTCAACTTAACCTAGGTCAAAATTTCTAAAAATGGTGTGCATGAGTGACCTATTTATTTTTCAAAAATTACCAAATAGAGATGTGGTCCTGAAAATATGACTTCCAACCCAACACCCTAGAAGTGACAGGCTGCCAGATGTCATCAATGCTTACCAGATCTGTGGACTGCACAGAAACAACATGAATAGATGGGGCTCCCCTTTCTATATAGTAAATGTGTGAAATAGCAATCATTAGCCATTCTGGTTTCTTTTACTGACAAGGTATTTTTGGAGAAGAACAAAGATAGCTAGATATCCAGGACTCTCAAAATGTTAAGATTCTGGCCTATAAGTTATGTTATTTTCTTCATGAATTTTTAAAGATTTTAGGTACGTATGTTTGCCTTATTAGCAGCATACTTTATTCCTTTAAATATGAGCAACCTATAGACGTGCCCTGGAGGAAAAAAACATAAAGCTTTCTCATGTATTTTTCACATCACTCAGATTTCAGGAGACGGAGGGCATTTGTTCAACCTAGAATTCACTCAAACTTAACACTATGTAACAATAATGATTACATCTATTACAGCATATTTTGAAGATCTGCCATTTTTCATCTGCTACGAGAAATACAGCTGTAAGTTACATGTGTACATAGGTAGTTCAGGATCCTTACCACCAAAGCTTCCTCCTTCATTGTAACCATCATAGCCTCCACCTCCTCCACCATATCCACCACCTGGGTTTCCATAGCTTGGGCTGCCACCGTAACCTCCTCTGCTACCATATCCAGGGCTTCCTCCATAGCTTCCACCTTGAGACATCAATTAGAAGTAACACAAGTGATCGTATCTGCGACAAATCTCAAAGCAATGACAGGCAATGCTGGCAATTTCTAGTACCGCTTTAGAGAGAGAATACTACCAAAAGGTAGATGCCAACATGACGGCTTCCAAACAAGTCATCCTAATCGAAAACTCCCAGCAAAGGTGATTTTAACTTCCCCAACCTTGCCTTTCCAAGTGTTACAGCCTGTAATTTCCGCTATCTCTCACCACTTGGCCACACTGGCTAGCCAAAAACCATTTGGAAGGATCCAGGATAGGGAAGGGTGTCTATCCTTATGGAACATGCTGACAGTGGGTCATGAAGTCCAAATGAAACAGAAACCATTCCTTGTAAATAATTAAGGGCCGGCTCACGGAAAGGACTCTGGCCCAGGGGAGAGTCCCAACTGCAGAAGGGCAGGGGCGAGAGAGGTTATTTTTGCCAAGTCGCCTTTCAAACCCACACAACCCTCTTAGAGCTTACCTCTTAACTCATGAGCTTTAAGGGGCCTAAGGAAATATTGGAATAGATTTTCAGGGAGCCAAGGAAGGATTAGCTTCCACCCACAGTAATACATTTTAAGCAGAATTCAGTTTACGTGGCTGTTCTAACCACTAGACTGGATCCAAACTAAACTGTACTTTTATAATACAACTGATGCCATCAATTACAATGAGACCATGATAATCTGAACCCAAATTTCTAAATAACTGAACTTTTATCATTTATCTGTTTTCCTTTCATAGTGTTGTTAAAGCAAAGCAAGGTGTGCTTGTGGCGATCACCCTGCTTTGGCTCAGGTAGAAGATTATTTGCATGTACCACTGAAAGCTGTTGGGAGGCAGAGTCAGCTAGATAAAAAGGGGGGCCGTAGCAGAAGATGGACTTAGACAGAGCTGAGAGAGGAGAGAGAGAAAGGTCTGAAGAGAAAGGAAGGCAGTTTGGGTTTGAGGCAGAGAAAGAATTTAAGGAGCTAATAGTCAAGAGTGTTATCTGTATTAGGTAAGATAGAAAAGGTTAAAGGAAAATACTGAAGCTTTGTATAACTTTAAGAATGTGCGTAAAAACTATTCCTAAAACAACTTGTGATCAATAAACCTGTTTATATTTCAAAGTTAAGTACTGAATGGACCTCAGTCTTTCATAGCAAACATAGTTGGTAAAGAGATCAACTGGTGGCAGTGAGGTAAAGAACATGTTGGGATACTCAGTGAGCTCATTGTTTGGTGAAGCAAGCAGGGACCACATGGGTAAACATCACAGTGCTGCTTTTATACCATCCCACAGAGGTTGAAGTACTCTAGGTAGTTTACAATGTAATTATAGATACTCATTGCCTCTTGCCACTGAGCAAGCTAGGTACTCAAATTTACTGACCTAGAAAGGATGGAAATCAATCTTGAGTAGCTATCTCAACCCGTTAAGACTGAACTCAGATCATGAGCAGAAGCTAGACTGCAGTATAACTACTGTACTACGACACTCCCTTCTGTTACAATACTGTTAGAATTCAGCCAGATCCAAAGTGTTAGCTACATTTAAAAATCTTTTGCCACAGGAGCTTTGTTCCCTGCCAAGTTAGGTTTCATCCTAGTGATACTAGCCCTGTTGCCTTACCATCACCAAAGCCATTGTATCCATCACCACTCCCGAAATTTCCTCTGCTGCCGCTGCCGCCGCCGCCGCCACCACCACTGTAGCCTCCTAAATCATAACAAAAGTGTTAGGAACTAGAATGTACCATATTTCAAGGCAGTATTCTTGAAAAGAGGCACAAAATGGTAAACATTTACCTCGGCCACCAAAACCTCCACCTCTGCCATAACTTCCACCACTGCTGCCAAAGTTCCCACGACTGACAAAACTGCCTGAACTGCTACCACGACCTAAAAGGGTGAGGGATAAGGATGAACAGTGAATGCCTCACAATGTTTAAAACCTAGTTACGATCATCACCATCATAAACTGTGCTGTAACAAACTTACTTCTCTGAGAAGTGGCAGTCTGCATTTCTTGCTTAGAGAGAGCTTTCTTCACCTCACAGTTATGTCCATTTATAGTGTGGTATTTCTGGACTAAAAGAAGTTTTGAAGTTATTAATAACTCACTGGCACAGTAGTATTATTATTCAGATTAATAATCTGTGATAACCTTGGGTATCCCAGGTGTTCTTGGACTACAGTTCCCAGAAACCCCTGGCCTGCACAGCTGGTGGTGAAGACTTGTGGGAATTGCAATCCAAGAACACCTGGGTTACCCAAGGCTGGGAACCATTGATTTAGACTGACAGATTTCCTTTTTATAGTCCATAAAGATAACACATACAAAAAATAATGCAGAACAAAAGCAATTAACAATGGCATTGAAATAAAGAACTCAACAAGAATAAATGTCAGCCAAGAGTGAGAAATCTTGGGGAAGAATGAAAACTAATTGGCAGAGGAGAGCACATATTTCTGGGGACTCCCTGGGCAGGATGTTCCATACAACATATAACAATAAGCAGATAACCCTGCTCTTTATCCCTATTACTCTCATTCCTCATGAGAAAAGAACATGGTACAGTAGCAACATCATCTCCCTCTGTGTGTGTGTGAGGGAGGGAAGGATTGTATAGATGGGAGAAGGAGCTTCCTAAAGTACGCATGACCCAGTTCAATTCAGACAGTACTCAAACTATGGGGAAAATCCAAAATGCAACCCACAAGCTTCTCTTTCCCAGTTTTGGATAAGAATGTCCTCCTTATAATGCAACAGGGGATCCAACTTAGTGACAGGATCAAGACCTTTTGGGGAGGGGGGGTCATTTCTGAAAGCCCTTTCTTTAGGACATTCTACAACCTTGACCTGCTCCTGAGTACTTTGGATCTTGTGTTGGAGAAATCAGTTTTCAAGCTGTTTTGATGAGGTAGTCCACTGTTTGGGAAATACATTCAATCAATCTGAGGACAGCTGAGACCACTGAGAAGCAGCAAAAGGCTCTACCTGATGGGAAGGAGGACCTGACCAAATCAAGTGGGGGAAAAGAAAAGGAAGTAGCTAGCTAGATCTTACTTGGGGACACAGCATGGGTACATCTGGATAGGCAGGTGAGTAAATAAAACAATGCTAAGAACAGAGACTATAACATAACGGCAAATAACTTGTAGAAATAGCAAATTTAAATAGACAGGAAAGGGAGGAGTCATTAAATCCCCTAGAGTTTTCTAAGACTGAGGCTAAAGAAAGCCACTCCAAAAACTCTGTGTGGACATGGGTGTGAAAACAAAGCCTCCTTTGGTACAAGCACTACATTCAGTGCATTAAAAGATTAAAATATTAATTTTAATGGTCTTATTTCTACACCAATCTCAAAGAGATGTAGGCGTTTATAAAGAATCACATACCAACAATTTTGTCAACTGTATCATGATCATCAAAAGTTACAAAGGCAAACCCTCTTTTCTTTCCACTCTGCCTGTCTTCCATTACTTCTATGGTTTCGATTTTGCCATATTTTTCAAAATAATCTCTTAAATGATATTCTTCTGTATCTTCTTTAATGCCTCCCACAAATATTTTCTTCACTGTTAAATGGGCACCAGGCTTCACAGAATCCTATAAAATTCCAAGTCACATTTAGTCTTTCAGTCTTCCAAAAACAAAAATTAAAAAAATTAAAAACACAAGTTGTTTACAATCTTTCAATTAAGGCTCAACAAATCCAGTAGCCACTTACTTCTCTAGAAACTGCTCTTTTTGGTTCCACCACACGGCCATCAACCTTGTGGGGCCGAGCTGCCATGGAAGCATCCACCTCTTCCACACAGGAGTATGTCACGAAACCAAAGCCGCGAGAACGTTTTGTCTGTGGATCTCTCATCACCTGTAAGGAAATTGAAATACACATAATACTAAATTTGGACTGATTTGTTTGTGTATGCTGTACTCATACACATATTGACTAGGGAATAAGTCCACTGAAAAAAGTGGGACTTGTTTCCAAGAAAACCCAGACAGGACTGTACTGTTCAGCTGTACAGTTATTTTGCATGTTCTGCTGCTGTTACTGAATGCTTTTATGATCACTCACCACACAGTCTGTGAGCGTGCCCCATTTTTCAAAGTGTTCTCTTAAGCTATCGTCTGTAGTTTCAAAGCTCAGACCGCCAATAAACAGCTTTCTCAATTGTTCTGGTTCCTTAGGATCATGGCCCTGAAAGAAGGAAAGTGTCAATGTGCTGCGCTAGATACATATGATTGAGAAGAAGTTCATCCATCTGCATTCCCACAATTTACTGTCAAGAGGCAGAAAATTACTGCATTTCACTATCAACTTGAATACAATGTAATAAACACTTGAACTGATAAAGATTAGCTAGAATCTGGTTTTATTTATTACATTTATATTCTACCTTTCCACTGACAGACAGCACTCAAAAACAAGAGACCCAGCAAGTCACTCCTCAGTAAAATATGGACATAATGCAATCATGCAGTGCAGCCATATAATGCTTGTTTTTTAATGCACAAGTTAAATCCCACAAAGTCTGAAGCCCTAGTGTTTAGCTTAGCAAGTTTCAGTACAGCAGGCCCACTGAATCAGTGCAGATTTGGTGAATCAACTCCTACACATGCTCCGTTTATTCAAATAGGCTCACTTTAGTGGCAACTTACTTCAGCGTAGTAAGTCACAACCAGGCAAGGACCAGTTAAATCAATGGAACTTAGGGAGGAGTTGACTCAGTAGGTCTACTCTGGTCCCAATTACACCAAGCAACAATATTTCAGTCAATGCTTAAGGTGCTTTATAAGCAAGAATTTATATATAATTGCAGTCTTGGATTGCAATTCTATATACACTTGGCAAAGAGTAAGGCTCAAAGACTCAACTACTTACTTCTGAATCAATACATGCACAATTGCATCTCAGTGCACTGGCCAAGTATCTAGCATAACTGAAAAAAATGTTAAAATATGACACAGGGTGTGTCCCTGCACAGGTAAAGGCAATGTAGCCAGGCAAATGTCACTCTACACTCAAGATAATGTATTTCAGTCCATCAAAGCAGGCTTTCAATTTTTATACAGTATCTCTTTTCTTTTGTACTCTACATGCTAGGGATACTGCTGACAATATAGTTTTACAGCACATTCATACTAAGTGCGCAGGATGTGGATAACTATTAGTCATAGAATCCCTCAGGTGCATTAACACATGTAGAAACTGCATATTTTGTTACATGAAGAAACTAGATGTGAACCTTATTTTAAAGCCAACAAATAGATGTACTACTTCTAATTTCACAGAAAGGAAGAACATAATCATTCTCCTTTCTGTTCTCCTCACCTCGTGAAGGCCAGAATCCTGTTTACAAATGTGGAGGGTCCATGGTTAGAGTGCTAGGAAATTGCTCCTCCACTCCCTAGCCTGCAACTAGGGAAGGTGGAGATTGCTCTGTTGGACCCAACAGAAGCTTCCACTTGTTCAGAAGTTTACAGTGAATTCTCTCTTGTGGAAATGGTGGAACTTGTGCACAGAACAGTTTCGTGCAAGGTTAGAAACATATACTGTACGAGACTGGATGAAGTTCAGAACTTCACCCTCCATAACAGGTGATCAACGGTCCCTCTAATTTTCCCCAAGTGCTGCATGGAGGCTCTGCCCCCTGCAAAAGGGATTCTAGCCACAACCAGAAACTTAACGGGCAAAAACTCCAGCTTGGCTGCGTGCCTTAGGGGGAACATTGGGTGAGATACTGCAATCTATCCTGTTTTTCTGATGGCAACAATATTTTTTTATATTCCACAATCACTTTTTATAACAGGAGTATGATTTTTGAGAATTAATACATTGAGATACTTAACTGTATCTGAAGAAACAGATTTCTTCAAATGAGGCAAGGTACAGTGGTGCCTCGCTTAACGAGCGCACCGTATAACGACGAAATCGCATAACAATCTGGTTTTTTTGGATCGCCAATGCGATCGCTCAACGTCGTTTAGATAGGGCGAAAATTGCTTTACGAAGATCGGTAAGCGTTTCGCTTACCGATCTTTGCAAAACGAAGCCCCGACGATCAGCTGTTCGGCGGACAAAATGGCCGCGCGCAGCGTTTTCGCACCCTCCCCTCGCTTAACGAGGGCGCGAAAATGGCTGCCGGCCATAGGAAACCTCGCTGAACAGTGAGTAAAGGAGCATTTTGGAACGGATTAAATGATGTTTAATGCGTTCCAATGGCTTTCCCTGTCCCGTTCAGCGATGTTTCGCTATAGCGAAGGTTAATCCGGAACGGATTAACCTCGCTATGCGAGGCACCACTGTATTTTGTCTGCATAAGAAATTTTAAAGTTAGGCCTATCTGCCTCTTTGACAAGAGGCTTTAAGAATCAGGAACACAACATTTGGCTCAGCAACTTTTTTGGAGTATTAGGAGTACCTCATAATACCTGAATAAAAGAAACCAGATGCCAAATGGAGCAGAAAAAAGCTGGAGGATGGGAAGCCCTTATTAGAACAATGTACCGTATTTAGCTTTTAAAGTTGTGTTTTAATGTTATAAGCTGCCTTGCACTCTTTTTGAGGAGAAAGGTGAGGTAAATGTTTTAAATAAACAAATAATAAATATTTTGGCTAGCTCTGATAGCCAAGCTAAATATTTTAGCTTTCTGAGAAGGTTCATAAGGTGTAATCCCAAAGTGCAGAACAGATTACAGCCTTTTGTTCCTACCCTCCTGCTGTATGTCTGCAAGGGAGGTTAGGTCATTTTAGTAACAGGTAGTCAGCTATTTTTTCCTTGTTTTTTCTTCTACAAAAAATGTCTGTAGTTCTTACAGAATGCATTGGGTAGTTCTGCCCCACAAAAAAAGAAGCAATGTTGTGGCCCCTTACAACCTCATCATACAAAATTTAAAATCAGGATACAGCAAACTCCACAGAATACGAGTAACCATTTAGGTGATTGTTATCAGGTGGGATACCAGTTAAAAAAAAAACTGGAGTGGGGGAGGTGGGAAGGTGAAGAAGAAAGTGATCTAGATCTAGACAGAAAGGACAGTAGGTTCTATTAAGGCAAAGGAACTCAGAAGCTTAGGATTCTGACATCTGCCACTTTAAGTTAATACAAGGCTAACTTTTGATTACTTCCCTATTTGGCTCTCTTCGAGTGTTTTGAATTTCTTATGTTCAAGTGCCTAGTATGGTTCCATGTAAGTTTGTTTCTTTCCTTGACAGCTGCAGTTGTTAAAAATCATTGCTAATATGTCAATACAATTCATTTTAAAAACAATATCTCTAAAACAATGCATAAAGCATTAAAAATAGAACTAGATGGAACCAATCAGCCCACTGATTAGTTAGTTGCACATGGCCTAGTTCTCAATGAGATTTAAAAAAACAAAAAACTTATATCTGAGCTGCATCATTTTAGCCTGTGGGACAAGTGCAAACTCGTGCAGCATAACGCCCCTCCTTACAGGATACTAAACTCTTACCCCAGACATACTAGTTTTGTATCCAGAGCGTCTTTGTATTCAATAATACAACCACTGTCCCATCCACCAGTAGTCTGAACTGATAAAGCACAGTTATCTTTTACGTGAGAACTGGACCCTTCCCAATTCAGGATACCCAGTGTGATGTAGTGCACTGGTTCTTAACCTTTGTTACTTAGATGTTTTTGGACTGCAGCTCCCAGAAGCCTTCACCATCAGCTCTGCTAGCTGGGGTTTCTGGGAGTTGCAGTTCAAAAACACCTGAGTAACAAAGGTTAAGAACCACTGGTGTAGTGGATTGAGCGAGCAATGGGCTAGGACTCAGTGGGGTGTGGATTCAAATCCATGTTCAGATATGGAAATTCACTAGGAGAGGAGAACTGGTAAAGCCACTACTTAAAAATATCTCACTTACCTTGGAAACCATAAATTAGTTTTGACTTGGCAGCACATTACAAAAACAAATTTGCCCTATCTTTAAATTAACTCCTTACTTAAGTGTCTATTTCTGTAACTTGATTAGTATATGATTTTAGATTTATTAATGTACCAGTTTTCAAGTTCTTCCCTTCATGTTAATATTACTCGTTAGACACAGACCTGTTAGCTATAAGCTTACTACAAGCTTACCAAACCAGTGTGGGGAATGAAAAGCAAAATATACTCTTTGGAAAGTCAGCAGGAAAGATAGTGCAATGTGAGGTGTAAACCCCACATGGAGTGACCAAAGCAGCAGCAAGCAAGAATCCTCCCTATTTACGCATAAAAAGGAAACTAGAAAAATAAAGCATTCCACCTGTGAAGATCTTCTTCCCCTCCTCTTGTAATCTTCAGCCTCTCTCTCCTCTTTACACGCCATTTTGAGAAGGGTGTTCTGACTCAGTTGCTTCTCTTAACCTAGATAACAAGTAGCACGAGTAATTTACCCGATCCTGGAAAGGTTTCTTTACTCTCATACAAAATAATGTTCTAAGCTGCAGTGGAGCAAACAAATGGGAACTATTTTAGTCTAAGCTTAAAAGGATGGCATCCTACAAGAGACTGAGGCAATAAGGGAGGAGGGCATTTTGTTGTCAAGCAATCTGTTGTCAAAATACATTTGTAGATTTATGAAGCACCGAGTTACAAGCAGCAGCTAGCTAGAAAAGGCAACACCTGGAGAAGTCAGCCAGCTATACCGTCTGGTAATTCGGTGAAGGCAATCTTGCAAGGAAAAGGAGGGCGGACTGGCGGGCAGGGGGAGGAGACAGCACCTCTACAGCAGGGACGCACACTTATTCCCCGTTACCAGCTATAAAGGCTGGTATTCAGAATGGCTGCCAGGGGACTCTGTCCCAATGCATGCAATACCTGACACTTGCTTGACTCAAGCCCTTCCTCCCCGTGCAGGCTGGGGGCATTCACAGCCAGTCTATTTATTCGCGTAGGCTAAGCAAATGGCCCCTGCAGGAGAAGGAGGCCTCCACCCCGGCCCTCCGCTTCTCTCCCTGCACGCGTCTGCACAAGGCCGCAGCGGTGCGCGCGCCCCTCCCGCCCCTACTCCCGAGCGCTTTCACCCGCCGCCACCTGCGCGTGAGGCTCCTCCCTTCCTTCCTTCCGAGCGCGTCCAAGGCGCGCGCGGCTCGCTCTCGTCCTCCTCCTCCTCCAGGCGCCCGCGAGACATCCGGGGCCTTAAGACCTGAAGCTCCCGCGCTCCAACGACTACGGGGCCCAGGGCTTCTGGGAACTCAACGTGCGCGGGAGGCGAGAGCCTAGTCTCCCCTAGGAAAGGGGCGGCCTCCTCGCTAGCTAGACTTCCCCTTGGAAAGCCACTTGCCAGAACAAAAAACAAAACAAAAAATCAAAAATGAAGAAGCCAACAACGTTGTGGCTCCTTGAAGACGAACTGCTGTTTTTTAATGGAAGCATTCACCTCCATTTTTAAATGTACGGAGGTCGTCTTTAACAATGTTTTCGGCTTCCTCATTTTTCAAACTTTTGTTCTGGCCGGCCACCTTGGCACAGACGAAGGCCGGCCACCTCTTCTGAAACGAAAATTTCCCAAAGCCACCCGAGGCAAATGAGAGCGCAGTCTTCCCCGGACCAAATACATTTTTTTTGGGGGGGGGGACCGCGCTTCCCTTTTCAATGTAACATACGAGTAACCTTAAAAAGAGAGAGAGAACCTCCTTCTCATTCTCCCTCGGGGCTCATTTGCTCGGATACGTCCTAATCATTCGACTCCACACTCAAAATGGGCCTTGCACATGCATCAGCTCCTTTCTGAAAATCATCGGGAAGGGTGGATGTGAGGAGCCGCGTCAACTCCACAGGGGCCTTTCAATCACATACTGTCCCCGAGGAGGTCTTTACACAGTAATGAGAACTGCAAGCCCTCGAATCAATTCGACTCACGACGACCCTTTCTGGGGCTTTCTAGATACAGAAGTTGTTGATCCTTCCTGCTATTTATTTATTGTATTTATACCCCGCCTATCTAGTCATTTCGACCACTCTAGGGGGCTTCTGGGAGCGCCCTGGGACTGTGCAGCTTGCCCAAAGGCCACTCAAGGAGGCACGCGGGGGAGGGGAGTTGGGAATCGAACTCCCGACCTCTGGCTCTGCAGCCGGATCTCTAAACCACTGAGCTGTCCAGCCAGCCAACGAGGTCTCAGGCCCCCAGGTTTTACAACTGTTCTAATACAACCCATTGCTATGCAGCTTGTCACTGAGACCTCAGCAAAGGAAAAACCAGGAATGCCGCCGCTCCCTTGTGCTAAACTGATTGGCACACAACGGTTGTGCAGCAATTCCCAGCTATTCTAGCCCTCCAAGCAGATGGAGGGAGGGACTGCAGTAAGAGTTGCTCAGAGGGCCCTAGAATGTGTTAATCCAATTAAAATTACAAACAGAATCAGACCTGAGCCTGGTATGGAGAACTACCCCCAAATCCTCCATGCAAAACACCATTCTGGTTGCAGTGAAGGTCAGTCTGCAAAAATTATGCCTCAGATACTTTTCTTGGATCAAATTCAGCACTCAAATGCATGCAGGTGCCCTTATCTGTCAGTGAGCTGCATGCACAGATGTTTTCAAATATTCTTAAATTTTACTTTTTTAAAGGACTCTGTTTTATCAAAATAGGGATTCTTATATATGTTCCTCTGTTTTATTATGGCAAAACGGGACTACAGTACTGCTATCCAACCAGGTTAATATTATGGGTTTATCTGCTTATGTGGGCAGCTTTCACTTCTACCAAAGCAAGGTCGTCCATCCAAAACTATCCCTCTGATCCTTTTACAACTGTGGGAAACACAGGAGCCTCACTAGCTGATCTACACCCTTAACATCCAGCTTAGATAAGCAAAGATATAAAGAAAGCCAGCTTTAGGAGAGTGCATAAGATTAAGCCAGAACAGACCCCGCACAACTGGTTTGAGCAAGTAGCCCAACAAGAATCTCAAGATCAGCAGGAACAAGCATTTCTTGTCAGAAACAATGTACAAATCCTCTTTACATATATGGATTTCTATTTGAGAAGGTTGCTTACTAAATAAAATAATGCTGAAATAAAAAATAAATTATTTTTGCATGCAAAGTGCTTATGTCATAGTACAGTACTGTCAAATATTTAATATGGTAGATGCAATGTGCCTAAACTCTGCATAGCTTATTAGGAAGTATTTATCAGAACAAAATGATTTTGTTACACCTACTAGGAAGTAATCTTTCTGAATAATATAGGGTTTACTCATGGACAGACAGCAATGTTTACTGCCTAGGGTTAATGTAGCAAATATGTTCTATCCTGTAGTCTTCAGGTCTAGACCTGCACAGCTTTTAATCAGTAATTTGCAGGAAAGCTGAATATTTTGGGAGAATCCATTCACTTTTCCATTTTAAAAAAATCTGAGGCATACTGTAGTTGAATTTGAAGGGAAAAACATACTTCACAATCTTGATATGAAATTTGATTAGTTTACACATGTCAGATATAACAGGTTTGCTCCATTAAACTATGGACAACCACTCCCGAAATTATGTAAGTCTTACTGGGTTTACCATATACTGTAAGAATGGACTGAAGACTCAGCAATCATATAGAACTTACTCCCAAATCTGTTTGTACGGGGAAACGTTTCCACAGTGTGAGGCGAGAATGTGTCTAAAGGCCACGTAACACGATTGCTCGTAGGGAAGGCTGTTCATTTTAGCCCTTCTGCCGCTACATGTGTGTGTGTGGGGGGAATCTATACTTCCTGCTGTTGCTGGTTATTTTTATTTTTAATAAGTAGAAATGAAACGCAGAAAAATATCATTCCAACAGACAAATGGGAGGAGGGAATCCAATATAAAGGATTTAACTTTTCCGGGTATTTCCGGGTCCTATTAATGGCTAAATCCGCCACAACTGACTGGGTTTTAGCCCTGTTCATTCATGGTAGTACAAGTTTAACAGAAGCCGCCGCCGGTTCAAGCTCGGCAAAGGCCCAGCGAGGCGACAAGAGCGGCCTCGGCCGCTCTCGTTCGACGCGGGGCCCCCGTGGAGG